TTTTCAATTTTTCAATTTTCCTGCCTTCCTTCCTTCCTTCCTCATTTTTTTTTTCTTTTTCTTAGCATATATTAAATCGTTCGAGAAAAAATACGAGGATCGATGCAACGAAACCGATTAATAGAATGTAGAAAACAAATGCTAAATCGTTTAGAGTCAATGATCGATAATTATTAGCTTTGATTATTTTTTGATCTGGAAACAACCATTCAGGTTTATAATTCCACGCAGTTTCAGTTATCCAATATCTAATCAATCCACATTGCCACATACGTTGTAAGAGATTACTAACCCTATCGTTCAATGGCCAATTAGGACGAACAACGTATGCCGAATACAAACTAATCAATCTGTGTTTGGAAACGTGCAAATGATTTTCAAAACCAATTTTCATTAATCTTAAACGTTCAGCAGCACAGCCAACGTTTTCTTTCTCTAAAACGTATTTCGTGCAATTCCAATGATTGATAAATTTCAAACGCGAACTAATGTCCTCGTCAAAAATGATGTTTCGATAAGAACTAAATATATACACCTGATAACCGGAATTTTTTAAATCGTTTATACAATCGATGTTTGATTTTTGTACCGGTGACGTTAACAACGACGAGAGACTTCCTTGAAACGTTGCTCCTGTGATTAAAAATAATATTACCACTGTAATCAAGTAAATCCTTAATGAAGTTTCTTCTGCTTTTTTTACAATGGTCGCACCAATTACTATTCTTAATACTTCGAGAAATGCAAATATCATTCCTTCTTTTCTTACAATAACAAAGATTACTATTGTAATAACAAATATCAGGATTGTTCCGATAATCAATTTAGGGTTCATAAAATTTAATATTTTTGATGGTTCAGTTTCATAACCAGCGTAACGCGACAACAAACTTATTCCAGTATTTATATGACAATAGGTGAACGATACGTTCATATATTTGTTGAATATGTATTGAGAATTTAATAGTATGTCCTTTTTACCGGAATTAATGATATCAAATATACCCTCGTTTGATTTGGAATAACCAAAGTAACTTTGTGCAGTGTCATTGGTGATCGTCACTTGTAAACTTGCATTTAATTTGTTCCATAATGTTTTTGCTATATTTCCATCAACTCCCTGATAATTTTCATAATCACTTTTGTTCGGGTTTATTATTAAACTCGGTGGAAGGTGTATTGCTATTGCTTTTATTTCTTTACCACCGAGTGTCAAAGTTTTAGGAAAATCCAAGTTGGAACAGGTCGTTTTATCTTTTGATCAAAATTATTTGTATTGTATAAATAATAATTAAATAATAAACTAGTATTTATTAATATTATTTAATAATCGTTAGAATTAGTGAAAAAAGTATAAAGTGTTCTTACTATTAATAAATTTTTGTTTATACAACGTCCAGTTTTTGTTTGATGATGATGATACGTTAGTTGATTTTTTCAAAACTTCATTCCATTCTTTTACAGCCCAGTTCGTGTAAGGATTGTAAGTATACATCATCATTTCTTTTTTCGAATTGATACAAAAATATGTGGAAGAAAGTATTTCTTGTTTCGAAATAATTTGAAGAAAATCATAAGCCCTGTCACAACCCTCTTCCAATGTTTTAGCATCGATGATCAAATATAATCCATAAATATTCCACCATTTGGATTTTTTTAATTTCATTAAAACATGTCGCAATGTTAACGGATTGGATACTACAGCTAAAATGATTTCTGTCTTTTTAGATATGTCATGATCAAAAATTTCTAAATTATTATCATTCGTAATGGAAATGTGTATTTTTAAAACAGTAAAAATATTCAAAATTTTCGATGATAAACCAATTGATGATTCCTTAGTATCACTCAACAGGGTAACGAAACGTTTTCTTTGAATCATGCAATTTGATAACGTGTCAATCTATAAAAAAAAAAAATGTAAAATTATTGTAAAATTGAAATTAATTGACAAATATATAATTTTAAGTACCAATTGTTCAGTTGCATTGTCAAGTAGATTAGAACGATCTAATTGAATTTTAGATTTACAAGATATGACAATAGAAGATAATAATATTATTTTTATAAACAACGTCATATTCGATTAACTTTACACACAAGTCTGTTTCTTAAACAATACTAAATTTTACTTCAACATTTTCAAGTCTTTATATATCGTCTCTCGTCTAATATCGAAGAAAATTCATTGGCTTATATTTTCAATGTAAATATTACATTGCAAAATTTCTAGATCTTTACATATTGATATAACAATTATTTTTACGATAGAAATCGATCAAATTGTACAGCAACGAGATTATAGCAATTGTAACTTAGTAACGATTACAGTTTCGTGGAAAACAATTTTATTATTCGATAGATGGATAGTTTTTTTTTTTTTTACAAATAAGTATTACATTTAAGTCTTCAGAGATTTGTGTCAAAGCTTAACGATGATAACATCGCAATTATTCTCACGGAAAGTTAATCGATAAAATTGTAGCTGATTATTATTATTATTATTATTTCGTTAACAAATAAAGAAGAAGAAGAAGAAGAACCAAAAAAAAAAAAAGAAAAAAAAAGAAGAAAATAAAAAAAGCACTTTCTATTCAATCGATAATTTGACCAGAAATGCATTGCACATTATTCACGTTTAACGATAGAAAGAAATATTGGTATCGTCATTTCCTTATAGAACGTCATAAATAAAAAAAAAAAACAAAACAAAAATCAGCTGATACAATAATATTCGAATGAATTTATTTCAAACGATTAAACCGATTGAATTTCTTTTTAATAATCCTTTTGATTTTAACGCGATGCCGATGAATTAACAATTCCATTGCAAATACAAACATGGCGCATGAATTTCCAATTATAAGGATATAAAAACTAAAATCGAGATGTCGAAATTTGAGTACTTTAAATCCAGTCATGTTCAATACTCTCAATTGTATTTCTCGATGCAAATGTTCGGTAGCTCTTTTCCTCCATAAAGAAACCAAACCAGATTCAACTAACTTTTGTAAATTTTTACTGAACGTTTCAAAGATTGGCCAATTTTCTCTGGCAATAAATGTTGATACGAATTCTCTTATTTTATATCTCGAAACGTGCAAATCCTTTTCGTTTAACGTTCTTTCAAATATATCGAGACAATCGGATACGCATACAACGTTGCTAGAATTTTTAACTATGTTTGTACAATCCATGTATGACGTTTCGTGATAACGAGAATCCAATTCTTCACCGACCATATCTTTAAAACTTATTGTACCATAAATAGCATTTCCAGAATCCTATAAGAATAATAATATACAGATACTTTAAAAAAAATACAGAAAATTATTGGAACATTTTCAAAGTTTGATAAATAAATATTGAAAGTAAATATATTAATAGATACCTTAAGATCATCATAGGTGTCAATGTTTGCATAAAACTGTGGTATAGTCAGTAAAGTATACCAATGGCTTTGAAAAACAGCATTGGCTGTTAATGAGAGTAAAAATATCATGCAAATATATATTCTATAAGAATTAATATTAGGCAAACGTAACATAGCAACGCAAACTACCAAACGTTCTATGTTTAAACATGCTTCAAAGAATCCATCGAATTTTATAATTATCAGTAAGGTTATCACACATAATATCATCGAGATAATCATAAAGGGTGTTGTTAAAAGGCCCATTAATTTTCTTAACTCGGAAATTTCTTTACTTGATTGAGACATTGAACAAATACCCGCTTCATCGTGTGGATAAGTGTAACTGGTAAATTATATGAAAGTATTATATATTATTTTCTTTACGACAACACGATGTACACGATGGCCCAAAAGTTTCAAGTTTCAAGATGTCTTAGAAGAAATGGTAGCTGATTTTTTTTTTTATTTTTTACACACTAAGAACTTATGGTCCATCGTGTATTTGAAAAGAGGACAAACAAACAAAAATAATAATTTTATTATCACAGGTATTTACCTGAGATGCCACATCATGGTGAAACTTCTCGAGTTCATTCCCATATCGTAATTACCACTTGCAACTTCACCCAATACACCGGTCATTCTTCCATATTTATTGATACCACCCAACATCATTTGTTTGACGGTAATATTAATAGTGGCGTTAAGTTTTTGTAAAATCGTTTTAATGATCATACTATTGTCTCCGCTAAATCGATCTAATCCTGTAATGTTATTATTTACGCTTAAATGCGGTGGTGCGTGTATAGCACACAATTTAACTTCGTAACCATAAAGAGCCGAGGTTTTCTTGATTTTTTTAAATTGACATCCAATCAATTCTAAAAAAAAAAAAAAAAGAAAAAGTTTACACTTCAACAACATTCGAATAAATGATCAAATAAAACAAGTATAATAATAATAATAATATGAAACGTTAATAAAAACGTTAATAATATCAAAATGGGTTTATTACCTTTGTCATATTTTTTTTTAAGTAAAAGCCAAGGATGTCCATTACGTCCAGAAAATCGTCCAGCTTCGATCCAATCACCAGACACTTGTGCCGTGTAAGGATCGTAAGAATAAAGTAATACACCTTCATTAGGATCGACACAAATAAAAATCGAACGTAAAAGATCGAATTGCCAAGCTGTCCAAAGATACGAATATGCGTTAACGCAACCACGTTTACCAGTTCTTTTATCTATCATAATATAACATCCATTGTTATTAGCCCATGTGGTATCCTTTATCCTTCTCAAGGTTAATTTAAGAATCGGTTGGGACGATGTAATAACAACGAAAAATCGTAATTTGTTGAGAAAACGTACAAACTCGTGAAATGTTTTTTTGTAAACGATAAAAGATTGACGCGTTAATGCTAATAAATCGAACGACGAATTTTTCGACTCTCCTACAAGAGCTATTGGGGTAATGCCAAAAAAATGGCGACGATTTATTAAAACATCCGAATACTCGCCGGCCAATAGAATTTTATTATTGCTGGTTTTTACCGTACAGGATATTAAGATGTTCAACTAGAAATAAAAAGGATTCAAATGTCAGATGTGATTGATGATTTAATTTTCTTCGGATTTTTCTTCTTTTTTTCTTTTCGTTAAAGACATAAAAAATATTATTTCATATTATAAATTACCGTAGTATCGATCGCCTTATCGTAGCTCGAATTTCCACCAGGCATAACGCTACTAGCAACACTCAAAAGAAGAGAATGCAATAATAAATTGGTCATAATTGAAGATTTATTATTCACAGCGAATGTAAAATAGATATATATATGTATATATGTATATATGTATATGCCAATGTTAGGAAAAAAATAAGTAGAACAGAGAAGATCCGATTTTTAACTAGTAACTAGAACTTCATGTTTGAAATAACAAAAAATAACAGATCGTCGTAGGATCTCTTTTTTTCTTTTTCATCGTCCATATTATCACAAGGTTGGCCTACAAAGTGACACTTTTTGTTAGTCAAGAAACTACTTACCCAACATTTTCACTTAGTCATCTAATTTATTATTGCACCGTGTGTCAGACGGTGTCGAGACACATTTCAGTTGGTGCTTCACGATTAAAAGCTTAGGTAACGATCGATAGTGTAAAGAAAATTACTAAAGGGCTGTGTGTTATCTTATATTGAAGTCTCTCAATGATGGTCTAGATCCAAGATCCCTGACATCGTAGGATATGTCCGAGTTATTTTTTATTTTATTTTTTTTTTATTTCACGAACAACGCGACGCCCAGCCATTTCTTTTTTTGTGTCCTTTTATTATTTTTTCTTTTTTATTCCCCCTCCGTTTATTTGATATGTGTAAGATCTAACCTACACAACCATCATCGGTTGACATTCTTTATTGTTTCAAATTATGTGAAACAGTTCGGTGCTGATATACGCGACAAGACATGAGCCTTGACAAGGTAAATTTACAATTAGAAAAGAACAAAGTTCTGTCACGCCTATTAGATTGTTCCAAATGTCATTTTGTTTGTTACTTTTTTTTTCAAATCCAAAACATTCTTTTTTTTTTTCAATGATTGCTACTAACAATCAAATTGGATAATAGTATATTACTCACCTAGGGAGAAAAGTACGGCATTTCGAAATTATTTTTTAATCAAATGTTCTGATAATATCTGTGAAATAAGAAATTTAGTAATTCGTTAAAAGAAAGACTAAAAAAAAAAAAAGAAAAAAAAACTTTTTAATATATTTAAAAAACATTGCAAATTCTAAATCACTTTTTCAATAATCATTTTTTGTTTTTGTTTTTTTGCTAAAATGTCAAATAATTTTACAAGTAAGAATATAATATTGGACATCGTTGAAAACGATTCATTCAAATTCCATACGATAAATTACATTATTTTTTCGAATCATTCAACACTATATCCATACAAATTCTGTCATTTGTATTAATCTTTCGTATTATTTGCTTGTTTAATTTCTTTTTGTTTTGTTTTTTTTTTGATAAATTTGTAATAAGTATCGAATAACAAGTGATTACCAGTGATAACTTTTTCAATATAAACAACACAGTGAAAATTATTTCATTGCAGTCTTCAAACGTTATACCGTTACTTTCTCCAGTGACGTATGTAATAACTTAATTGACTTTAGTTCTTCCGTTGCTCCGTTTTAAATAAAGGTTAAGAGCCGATAATAGAGATTAATTCGATGTACAAGAGTAAAGTTGTAACCACTGTAAGGAATAATATCACTTTTGAAATAGAATTACGTTAAGTATACAGAATTAAACGATATATATATAACATGATTGATTACAAAATGAATAAAATGAAATTAGTGTACAAAATGAATGCTTACACACACATATGTAATATATTTTATTATTTATATTATTTGTAAGCAAATTTAGGAAATAATTTTTCCAATTTTTTAACACAACAAATTAAAATAATTTGCCTTAGTCATACATTGTCTTGCAACAATTTTTCAATAGAAATAATAAACAAAAAAATGTTTAGAGATTTTATTGTCGCACTTACTTTGTTGATAAATATTACGAAAGATTTTTCGTAAAATTAAATGAACAATGATGGTTGACGATGTTTGATATAAAAGTGATGTGACTTACAATTTACTACACGAACGACTACGACCAAATGATCATTTTACGTTGTCTCTACAAAATTGTGGTATTTTATGTGGTATTTGTTTTTTTTCTTCTTTCTTCTTAACTCTTGTTTTCTTTTTTTCTTTTCTTTTTTTTTTTCATATACTATTTCGATCGCGCAAAACGATAACGATCGGGGTTCTAAACGCATTTATGTTCGCTTTTACGCTACTATCCATTATGATGAAGAGATAATGTAATACTCTATTACGGAATAAAAAAAGAAAAAGAAAGAAAGAAAGAAAGAATGTCTAACTGTTAATCGTAATTACACTTGTTTCTGAAATTTTGATTTTACCTAACATACATTTATAATCATCCAATTATTACTATTTATTAAACCTTTATTAGTATGTTTGATTCGGATGTTAAAGTATCAAGTCCTTTAAATCATATGTAAGATTTAATTGAACACAAAGAGACCATGCCATGTGAAAGATTACACTCAATCTTTTACAATGAGAAATGGACTATTCTTTTATTAAAGTGAAAATTAAAATAAATGACTGGACTATTATTCTACTATGAAATGTATTATCATATCTGTTTGTGCTATCAATTTAAATTATATTTTAATTAGTTTGCTAATAAACGTTACAGATAATAAAAAGATAATACGAATCGATAATTCGATTTTTATTTCTTCGAAATAAAAAAAAAAAAAATAAATAAAAAATAAAAAACAAACAAGATATAAGTAAAATAGAATTTTTTTATATGTAATCATAATAGTATACTAATAAAAAATAGTAACGAGAAAACTAGGAAGATGTAGCGGAATAGTTATACTGGATGTGGTATTTCTGGTTAGCAATAGTAGTAGTAGTAGTAAACATATTTTAATAGTAATAGTGGGAGTAATAATAATAATATAATGATAGTAATACTTACAATAGTTGTAACGGTAGTAATAATATTATAATAATAGTAGTAGTAGTAGTAACAGTAACAGCAATAGTATTAGTAATAATAGTAATAGCAGTTCTTTGTAAGTAGTAGTAACAGTTACAGTAGTGGTAGTAGTACTGATAGTAGTAGTAATAATAATCTATTAATAGTACTAGTAACAGTAAGAAGTTGAAGAGGTGGGAGAGTTTAGTATGTTCACATGTCGGAAGAAGCTTGCCTGAAGCAAGGCAGTTTAGAATCAGCGCTCGGTCCGAGGGCCGATATTTTGTTCGTGTTCCTCTAAAACTAAATCAGGAGCCTCTGAAAAATTACATTCACTTTCAGTTAAGAACCGGTTCTTTGCATTTTTTATACGACAAGCAAGTCTTCGGAGTGAGTTGACGTCAATGAGGATGACTCGTTTAATGGATATTGCACAGCGTTACTCGTTTATTTTTCTCATTGCCAGTACGAGTCTTTTGAAACATGTGACTTCGACCGATCGGCCAAACATCATTTTTATTTTAGCCGATGATTTGGTGAATCTAACTATTGATTTATTATCTAATATATTGTATTATTTTTGATTCATTACTTTAAATGAATTATATTGTATAATATTGTTCTTAGGGATGGAACGATGTTGGATTTCATGGATCAGGACAAATACCGACACCTAATATCGACGCACTCGCTTATTCTGGATTATTATTAAATAAATATTACGTTACTCCGATTTGTACGCCGTCTAGAAGTGCTTTGATGACCGGAAAATATCCGATTCACATTGGAATGCAACATGGTGTAAATATTTACTGGATTTATTATTAATACGATACATGTTTTTGTTTGTAAACATTTATTTGATGTATATATATATGTTTATTAGGTTCTTAAAGGAGCCGAACCGAGAGGACTTCCTCTGAATGAAAAAATTTTACCGCAATATCTTCAAGATCTTGGTTACAGTACGCACATTGTTGGCAAATGGCATTTGGGATTTTACAAGAAAGAATTTACACCAACTTATCGTGGTTTCAAAAGTCACGTTGGTTTCTGGTCAGGTCATCACGATTACTTCGATCATACTGCCGTCGAAGAGGTGATGAGTACTATCTTCGTAAAGTATAATACAATGTGTGTATATGGTCGAATTAAATTAACGGGAGAATAATATATTCATTGTACTATACGCACAGCCATATTGGGGTCTAGACATGAGACGTGATATGAATGCAGCGTGGGAGTTACATGGTCAATACTCAACTGATATCTTCACGCAAGAGGCCATCAAACTGATCGAGAATCACAATACAAGTCAACCATTGTTTTTATATTTAGCCCATGCTGCTGTTCATTCCGGAAATCCTTACAATCCTTTACAAGCACCTGACTTTGAAGTGGCCAAGTATTCCTCGATTGCCGATTACAATCGTAGACGATTCGCTGGTATTGAAAATTATTAAACGAATGTTTTATTACATGTGAAATAGAGATCAAATTGAATTATTATCATAATCAATTTTTTCTTTTAGGTATGTTAAGTAAGCTTGATCAATCGGTAGGACATGTAGTTAAAGCTCTACAAAAAACAGATTTATTGAAAAACAGCGTGATTATTTTTTCTACCGACAATGGGGGTCCAGCATCTGGATTTAATTTGAATGCAGCTTCGAACTGGCCACTTAGAGGCGTTAAAAATACACTTTGGGAAGGTTGTATATATGTTTTGTTATAAGCTTTATTATAACAATGTTTTAAAACGTTTATTATAATATATTTTTAGGAGGTGTCAGAGGTACCGGTTTATTATGGACACCTAAATTAAATCGTCCTGGTCGTGTAAGTTCACAAATGTTTCACATAACCGATTGGCTACCAACACTCTTATCGATCGCTGGTAGCGATCCTTCGAATCTGACGAATTTGGATGGCATTGATTTATGGGAAGCATTGCGGGATGACAAGGACTCACCGCGTAGAACTATTTTACAT